TCAGTAACCCTGTCCAGTTGCTGTAATTTGGGGGGGGGTCTTCACACTAATCTGGGTCAACCCTTACAAATCCATAACACCAAATGATACACATCTTCTGTAATTTTAGGGGCCACCACACCCATTTATACCCAAGGTCTGCTTACAAAAAACATACTGTGAATTAGCCTGAGCAAAAATAATTAATTTATAGTCAGCTATTTGTGGGAGAAGCAGTGATCCAGTCACCAGTTACAGTTAGACTGCCCTGTGTACCCACAATGCTGTAGCCATGAGTTATAACCACGTGGCCAATGCTCAGTTGAAGCACATGTTTCCCGCGTCTTTTAAACCTGATGACGATATGCCACTGCTCATTGGCTAAGACACAGGCGGCCGGAACTGACGTCATCACGGTGCATGCAGTTGGCCATGGAATGCTCTGTACTTCGTGGTGTTCTAAGAGGTATAAGGGAAGGGCTGTAGGAGTGGGGGCAGGGTGAAGGCACATTACAAAGAGACAAGTAGGCACCATAAAAAGGCATAGGGGTATTTATAATGGCCTGAAATCAATGTGCCAAAATATTGAAATATAATAAAGGAAATAAATTAAAATATTGAGAAAATGGCAAGGATAGGTCAACATGAGGCAGGAGGGCCTGTCCTAGTCAGAGATAGACATGGATATCTGTGGCTGTAAATAAAACCACAGTTTGACATGTGGAAGGGCAGAGGCACACCCTCATTTTTAGGGAGTCAGGAGTGAGAGTTTTTTTTCTGTTAATAAATTCTGCATTGTGGATTAATAGAAAATAAAATATCAGGTAAAATCTAAATATTGTATTTATTGTAGTAGATATAATTCTACAGAAGAGTCAATTTCATTGTCTTCTTTCTTTAATTTAAATCAGGGGCTCTCAAACAGTTTTTGTCCGAGGACCTCAAAAGGGATTGAAAGCTGAGAATCAGTTCCCTTGTTATTGTTTGCACTACTCAGCTATCAAAATGAAAGTAGACACTATCAGAGTTTAAAATGTATACACTTTTTAACATTCAGACTAATATCTGTAAAATACTGGTTTGAAAACAGTGCATCCTCTATCTTACATCAGAATCACTCAAGCTCCCTTAAACCCCCCACCCCTCCCTGCTCTGAATTATGTGTAGAATCTAGTCTGATGCAAGAATGTTTCCAGAGACAATTATTTAAATAGATTAAGTGCTTGTGTTGTGCAAGGACAACTTTTGAGTATAGCAACGGCATGGGCAGACAAAGATTTTAATTTCCCTGATCATATATACATTCCTAATGAGGTACTAAAGTTTGACTCTGGCCCCCAACTTTAAGCCAATATCATATAACAATGTCACCTGAAACTCAATTCTCAAGAGTTAGAGGCTGAATATTTAAATCTGATAAATGTGTCTGGTTATCCAGGGATTAATCCTGTGCAGCTGGGACCAGCCAGTTTGAGGGACATCCACTGTCTAGTGATAAAAGTGACTCTAAAATGGGACTTGAAAGTCATGGTTCTCTAAGTACAGGGTGTTGGGGAACAGTGATCTAGAGACAAATTGGGGCATTTTGATCTCCCACAAAATATTGTTCTGCAAAAACATCACATATTTAGACTCTCTTCCCCGCACATACCACAAATAGGCAACCATTGGTTAAGATGGTTACATTTTGGCTAAGATGGACATTGTGTGTGTCCAGGCTGTCATTTCATCTTTCTTTATTGTCTAAACATGTTTCTGAATCTTTCATATATCACTCTGAACCTACTCCCCTTTACAGAATACACCAGTGCTTTTAATGTTAGTAGCAATACTCACAGTAAATTGGTGGTGTTACTTACATCAGCTGCTTTCTTCTCAGCAACTTCCAGCTTCTCTTGGGCGTCCTTCAAGGCTTCTGAGTATTTATCCAGTTCATCTTCTGTCCCCTTCAGCTTCTTCTGCATGGAGACTAGGTCATCTTCCAGCTACAGGTACCCAGAAAAGAGGTCACAGGTGACTTTAAACAAATATAAAATGCTGTTCATATAGTTGCTAATATGTTCTGTTATTACTTGTATGTTTCACCGAAAAAAGTTGTAGAAGGTAAAATGACGGCAAAAGACGGTAGCAAATTCAGGGTGACAGATTTCAGAGGTTAGGGATAACGTACCTCTGTGCCACACACTCTACAGGTGATAGTGCTGACTTGTTTATTATAATAGTCATTATAGTGCTCCCATATTGTCAGTACAGTGAAAAAAAGTTTGACCAGTGTGAAATCTGATTAAAGGCTAGGAGGAAACAGGTGAGGAACAAATAAACATTCAGAGAGGTTGGGTGGAGATTGATCCCTGGTAGTCGCATAGAATAGTCTGAATGAGCACTTACTGGTCAGGAGGAGTTTCCATTCACCAACGGTGGATATTAAGGAAGTGATTCAACTGACTTGATGATCATGAGGAAGGTAAATTACTGTGATGGAGATTGGTACCTGGTAGATTTGCCAAGAGGAACAGTGAGAAAGGCTATCTGTCCATTGTTCTCTATTAGTCTAATCTGATGGAATAGCCAGGAGGAACATTAAGATAAGTGAGGTGTAGATGGCTCAGTGTTAGTCAGATAAGGGGGTCAGGAAGAACATTGAGAGAGGGAATTGAAATAGGTCATTATTAAAGTGATGGAATGTTCAGGAGGAAATTGGTTAGGTGATGTAGCTGTTGGTCAGTTAACCTAATGCAAGGGTGATTGGTTATTGTTAGTCTGGGACAGTAATCCAGAAGAACATTAGAATATTTCTCACGGTGAGTCTGGAATGGAAGAGACTTAAACACTGAAAGTGTCCGTGTATACTTTCAGCATATCTCCAAGAATAGCACTTTTAGCAGGTTAGAAGAAACCACTGGAAATGTGACAGTCATCATACGATCAATCTATAAATGTGTATACACATATCTTCCTAAAAGTGTATTTTTTCTGTGGTTGTTGTTAGTAGATGAAAAGGCATAGGAGAATCATATAACAGTAATAATAATGTGCAGTGTTTGTGCCAGAGAGAGAGTAAATTTGTCTCACGGGGTGCGGCAGTTTAGTGGACATTGGCCCAATGCCTATTCCTAGATAAACACTTCTCATAGCAGAGATTCCGTGAGTTCTGCAGCAATGAACGTTCTTCTGCTTTTTTCACTTTTATTGTATACTGTGACTGTGGTTTATCCAGTAACCCAGAAATTAGGGAGAACTGAAAAAGGGGATGTACGTTTTTTCCAGCATTTCTCCAACTGTGTCAAATAAGTGCGTCTCACTTTTTGGTTAAATAAAATAAAATACCCTACTATGTTATTATTATAATTATTACTAAACATACCAGTTTATAATAGGACTTAAGTGGTATTTTCCTTTAAATACTCTCACTTTGAAATCAAACGTTCCAGTTTATATTTTAGATATCACAGGTAATGAAGTCCATTGTAGTAGCCCAGTAGTGTCTCAGTGATATGTAATGGAGACCTTTGCTACAGAGAATGGTCCGCCTAAAGATCCATCACACCTACCTGCTTGCTCTTCTCTTCCACCTGTTTCTTCTCTGCCTCAGCTTGCTCAGCCCGGTCCATAGCATTCTCCTTGTCCAACTTTAACATCTGCATCTTCTTCTTAATGGCTTCCATGGTGATTGTCTCTGTACAGCCTGTAGAAGTTCCTTAAAGTTGTGGACTTACAAGGTGTGTATGGGTGGTTTAATGAAGGGGAAGCTCTGCAAGGTTTGTGAGGGCTCTTTAAAGATGTGGGTCTTATGTGATACGGAAAGGTGCTTTTAAAAATGAGGGTCTTGGAAGTTGAGTACCCTAAAGAATGGTAGAAAGAAAGCGTGCATTAAGTGGGGTTGCTTATAAGAGCTGTAAAAATATTTTGAGGCTAAGACGTTTCTAAGGTATCCCAAAGTGCTTTAAATATATGTGCTTTAAGGATGAGAGACTTGCAAGTGTGTAAGGGTACCTTAAATTGAGGGGCTTATAACTTCTGAAAGGGTACCTTAAAAATGAGGGGCATGAAAGATGTGTAAGGATGCCTTAAAGATGAGGGCTTGTAAGGTGTGTGAAGATGTAGGGCTTGTTTGGTGTATAAAGATGACAGACGTGCAAGATGTCCAAGTGTGCTGTATATGTGTGGGTATCTGTCCTCTTGTCCCGATGCTGAGTTCTTTGCTGCCTTCCCAGTTTTATTCCACATTTCAACACCTGTCCTTGGGTGATCCAGTGCCCCTCCTCCTTTTCGCTATGACCCCATGCTCATTGCATTGTTATGCTGACATGAGGGGTCTTAGACATTAGACAAGATCCATATTAGGATCCCAATGGACAGCTGGCATGTGAATATAAAAGACTGGTATGAGGACCATGATGATTTGGTTACAGCGTCAGTCTGAATTTGTGTCATCAAGTCTTTGTATTCCCCACTCCCAAAATATATCACCATATAGCGATACCCAGGTTTACCATAATACTGGGGAGGATATAAAAAGAATTTAGAAAGCAGAGAATTGTTAAAATGTTGCAGGGAGAAAGTAACATCTGCAGGGAATATCAGCAGAATGGATGAAAATGTTACAGGGACAAAGTAACATCTGAAATATGTATTAATATAAACATCATCATGTTGTTAATTCAATTTCCACATTTCATAGATCACAATGGGGTATATTCACTAAACAGTGAATTGTGGTTAACTGGAAACCAGACTAGAAACATTTAGGCCAGGGGTGCCCAAATGGTAGATCCCCAGATGTTTTTAAACTACAGCTTCCATGATGCCTTGTCATTGCAAAGGCATGCAAAGACATACAAAGAATCATGGGAGTTGTAGTTTCACATCTGGGGATCTACCTTTTAGGAAATCCTGATTTAGGCTTTAATAAAACCTCTACACCATTTCCTCTAGAACTGTGGTATATACATAAAGGTGCATACAAACACAACTGAGGCATTCATTCAAAAAATAAATTTATTTAGAGCCATTTTATTTCGGTGACAGAGTTTCCAGGGCAAGCGTTCAACACAAATAATATTAAATTATCTCTTAATACATTTTACAGATTTACAAGATATGCACAGGATACTGAAATTACAATATTATTTTTAGAAGAACAAATAGTGTTACTTTATAAACCCACATTTTCTGTTCATTACTCCCAGGTTTCGGTGTTTTACAGGGACACTACAGTCACCAAACCTACTACAACTTAGTGTAGTGGTTCTGGTGTCTATAGCATGTCCCTGCAGCCGTGGCACTGTAAACACTGCCTTGTCAGAGAAAAGGCAGTGTTCGCATTGCTGGTTAGTTACACCTCTAGTGTCAATCACTCAGACGACCACTAGAGGTGCTTCACAGTGCAGCATCTACGTTCAACTTCTCCATGCTCTGCATTGATTCACTGCATCTCTATGAGGAGATGTTGATTGGTACAGCGCAGCTTTTTGCCATGCATGAAAGCATTGGATTGGCTGAAATCACCAAGACTGAGGATCTCAGCCACAAAGGTGGGTCCAAGCAAAGCCAGCCACAGCAAAATCAGCACAGCATGGTAGGAAAGGTAAGTAAAATCAACTTTAATCTCTGAAGAGAGGAGGCCTAGAGACCTAATGCAAAATTCAAGCACTACAGTATCACTATAGTGCTTCTCTTTAACCTCTGGAAATACAACTGCTTATATTGTCAGGTCTGGTAGTTGTAGTTCAGCCGTTAGCATTCTACAGTAGAAAGCTAACATTTGAACTACAACTCACAGCAAGCCTTGCTGTACCCATAAAGCACTTCTTATGGGATAAGCTTAGACGTTTTAAAAAAAAGGTAATCGAGCAGCACTTATCACGTTTCACATGGCATATTGCATGGGCATTTGAAACAAATGTAGAAATCTCAAATGTATAATTTAAAAAAAAAAAATTATTATTCTTACTATTGTTAATGTACTATCTGTATAATGCATTTACAAAATAATAGGGCATATTCAGCCTGTAGTAGTTTCCATTCATGAGCTATTTCGCCTCCATTAGAAGTGCTCATGTTATTGTCTTGTGTGGCAAATTCTAACTCCAACTTCTTCATATTAGCTTCGGGCATAGAAGGAGCACAGTGTTTGGCCGCGCATGCTTACTACCATCAGTCCTTCTATATGAGAGGCATTGGACTGGAAAAGATTGAAAAGACATGAGCAGGCATACTAACGTCTTCAAAGGTGGAAGGGATGGCTGCAGTGGAGGAGTCCTGAAATTGGAAAAGAGGTGAGTAGCCTCTTTTTACTTGTTTTTTTTTAATGCCAATGGAGGGTGCACAGTACAATCACTTAGTCCATTCATGTCACTTTGATTGCTGTAGTGGTTATAGTACCAGGAGTCTTCTGAGACCGACTGCAGGACCCATCGCACCTTCCCGACAGGGAAGACCCTGGACCTCACTGGACCCCAAACTCGTGGCAAAAGGGTGCCAGCTCTCACATAGTACCGGGGCCGGAGTGGTGCCTCTCCTCCACGATGTCACGCTTTCCCCCCAATTGGACTGAGCTCAAGCACAAGAAATAACCCTCGCAGGGGTGTTGGATGACTGTTCACTTACCGCTCACTTGGCTGGGCAACCCGCAACCTGGGTCCAAAGAAACACCGACAAGGACTCACTCAAATATTAGCAAGGAGACATGCATTAACCTGTGTTAATGATATGTATATCTCTCCCGCTTTTACCTTTATTTTCATGTTTCACTATCACACTTTATTCTCACACTTATAATACTATAAAATGTGCAAGTCCTATCTATTCCCCATTACACAATGCAATGCTAATCCTGAGGAATGCCTTTGGGGTACCTCAAGCCTGTTTGTAATACTCTTTGCACGACAAAAATCTAAAATAAAATACATTTTTTTTAAAAAAATGAATAGTCACCCAGACCACTTAATGTCAATGAAGTGGTCTGGGTGCAGTGATACTGTCATTTTAACTCTGCAATTTAAATGATTGTGGTTTTTTTTTTCTCCAGAAACTGCAGTGTTTACATTTCAGGGTTTAATACACTTTTGATTCCCAGACTTAATAATGATTGCTATTTTCAGGACTATAGGTTTCCTTTAATTTTAAGGTTTTATTCCAAGGTGTTATTTCCGTAGAAGTGCCAGTTCCAATTTAAATATACGATTCTGATTGGGAAATATTCTATTTCATTACATGGGTTTGTTAAATAAATTAATGAATGTTTAATGAATGAATGCTGAGATCTTGGCCATTACCTATTAGGGATTGTGTCGCTCTGTATGTATAGTGGAATTCCCATACATTGGGCTTGATAAAGCCCCTGTCCGGTTTGCTAGGCACAAAATAAAAGTTAGATGCCTGAGAAGATAATTTTTAGAAAGCAGAGGGACTAGCAGTGTTCCTCAACCCAATCCTCATGGCCCACCAAAAATCTATCATGGCTAACCATCACTAACTTAGTACTAATACACAAAATAAGTCCTGCACTCAGACTCCCACTACTCCTGGGCTGCAGCCATGACCATAGTACAGATCAGCCTCAATCTGTAAAATAAGAAAAGACTTACCTGCTCACTACTCCGTATCCCTGTGGATATTTAAATGGAAGCTTTTTTGTAGCACTTTTTGTAAGCCCACTTGCTACGGCAAGGCAGACCTCTTAGGTGGGTCCTACACTAACAATTCACCTTCCTTCCTTCAGCTTTAGGCAAACAAATATCTAATGAGATAGAGAGGGGGATTTTTCTAAACCCCTACATACTTATTAATCCTTAATAGGGAGCACATGGGGTGAGCGGCAGAATTGTTAGTGTAGAACCTACCTAAGAGGTTTGCCTTGATGTGACAGGTGGACTTACACCTAATGGGCATTGGACTGAAACGAAAAAACAACTTAGTACTGCCAAACTAGAATCCAGCACAGAGAAACACTCAACAGACATTTAACGCTTGCCATGCTATCATTCTCTTGTGACATTTATGAATTCTGTATTCTGTTAGTAAGGCCATGTGTGCAGTTCATGTCAGGTTGCTGTTTCATGTTTCGTCTGATAAAATCCAGCGCTCTGAAAACCAAAATGGTGTAGTGGCAACAGTTGAAGATAGGAAGAAATAAAATGTGAGACCATCCCAGCATCTCATTCAGGTAGATTGAACGCTATAAATGCTATAAGTTACTTTGCCATTTAACGTTGGATGTTTTACTATTTTCCCATATTTTAAGCATTAAGTCGTCGCTGAATGCATTGGAGCTATGGCAGTACAAAGGTTAACTTCACAATTATCTACACAGGGCCTTAAATATGGAATCATTTCTTGAAGTGGTGGTCTTGCATCCAGCTATCGGCGAATAAGAAGAGAAAGGCATATTTGTTTTTTGGAATGGAGAGTGACATTTGGAATGGTCTCCCGAGTTAGATGAACTAATAAGGTATTTGTGCAATAAATAAAAATACACCTCCTTTCGGGAGGGGTGTGTGTACAACAAAGTGCTAAAATAAATAAGCGGCAGCAGCTCTGTACACTTGTGTGGAAATATCCTCTTATCCACACCAAAAATGCCAAATCTTTTAGAGGGTGTAAGTAGAAACCTACGTCTTTAAGTGGAGCGCTAGATAGTTTTTGTGCGTAGGTGAGGTAAACTTACCCCATGTAACTTTGCTAAAAGCTTGATTTGAAATACATATAAAAGATAAAAAATACAATATAGTGCAAAATGTTTTATCTTTAAAATATACCCTACAACGAATTGGAGGTGTGATGCTGCCTTAAAAGCATAAAAGCTCGATTACGGAGCCAGTATTTATACACGGGCTCCTTTAAATGTGAGTGTCCTGATATCACCATCACCTATTTTATCTCATTCCACGTGCCATCTGCACTATAATGTATTTTTTTATCTTTTATATGTATCTCAAGTCAAGTTTTTAACCAATTATGTGGAGTAAGTTTACCTCACCTATGCACAAAACGTATCTAGCGCTCCACTTAAAGGTGTAGGTTTCTACTTACACCTTCTAAAAGATAATAAGGTATTTGTATTTAACCGTTGTGAGCGCAGATCACCCAGCTAGCACACCACTGGTTAAACTGGTCTGTATTGACATGAAGTCTCAAGGGCAAGCCACGGGCCTTACTTTCAAGTGAACACATAAAGAGATTTTCTACCGATAATCAGCTTAATTAGTTCATTAAAAGATAACTTGAGAAAGATTGAAAGCCACGCAAGTTGGCTGCCCTTCAGAGAATCATAATATGGAATTTCAGATCAGAGACAACAAATAATGGAATGTACAGCTCTATGAGTTATGTTGGTGCTATCAAAATACATTTAAGATTGCAGATCTTTCTACCTCAACTGCGTCAGCCTCCCCTCTACAAAAATTTAGAATAATAAAAATCTAGAATGAAACAAAAACAATCAGTTGGCTCGATCAGGTATGATAATTTTTTTTTGGTGGGGGGGGGAGGGGGGTTGCTGAAGACAGCTTAGCCCACTTCCACTAATGTATAAACTATACTACCTTTCCTATGAGTTGGAATTCCCTGTTTTAAAAATGATTTGTGACCATCAGATTCTAAACCCCGTACCAGCTAATTAAGTCTAACATTCTTGTTTTTTAGATAATTTTGTTCAATATATATAATTACAGGTATTAATTAACAATTTTTGATATAATGTACTGCTCGTCGACTAACTATATGGCCTTTATTAATGCATTCTAGTTTTCGCCCATTTTTTAGTACTCTTCAGCCCCTGTAAAACGGAACGGCTGTTAGTCGTTGTTTGCATGTAGTTTCGCCACCACCATTATCTTTAAAATGGCACTCTAAGTACTATAACCAGTACAGCTTATTGTAGTGTTTATTGAGCAAAATAAAAGGCTTTGCATTCTATTACCCAGTTTTCTGTCAAACTTTTTTCATCATGCGTGACCAAAAAATAGGAATCTCTTTGGCATCCAAAACCCAACACCCTTCATCTCTCAGAAAAATATAAAGTTACACTTCCATATTATAACTCCAAATCCGAGGCCCGTGTCCCCAGACTATCATTACCATTCAAGGGTGGACTGTTTTTGTCAAAAAAATGGTTAACATTCTTTTTCTGTAATGATGTTCCTGTAATATTCCAGAATTCCAGGCTATATACAATGTACATATCAGTGATTCCCCTGAGAACAAATATTAACTTACAACCCAAATTGTGTCCCCCTCTTTTTGAACCTGAGGGTACGGTGCGATTGTTCTGCCTTGGTTCCAGGCTGCAGTTGGCATGTTGCCCCTAGGAGCAGCCCATTGGATTCCGGACTCCCTCTGGCTCAGATATTTGGAATGGTTCTGGTGTCAGTCGGCACCTGCTGGCTGTCGGTTTTAAGAAAGGGATTATCATATCCCAAAGTGTACCCTTGTTGTCTCATCTATTGTTACAGAGGGATTCAATCATGGGTATGGGAGGGTGGGGAGCTGCATTAATCTGAGGTGACAGGAAAATTATTTATAATTTACGTCATGAATAGTACATTAAAGAGACATGCATACAGAAGCAGGTAAAACTCTGAGCAGGAAACCTGTAAAGTTGAATAGATTTATACTGTGTATTGTGTATAACTTAGGTGGGCCAGATCGCTCTACATTCTGTGTACAGCAGTAAATCAGGCAGGTCAGGGCTCTCTGTATACTGTGTACAGCAGTAAATCAGGCAGGCCACGGCTCTTTGAACACTGTGTACAGCAGTAAATCAGGCAGGCCGGGGCTCTCTGTATACTGTGTACAGCAGTAAATCAGGCAGGTCAGGGCTCTCTGTATACTGTGTACTTAAATCAGGAGGTCTCTCTGTATACTGTGTACACCAGTAAATCAGGCAGGCCGGGGCTCTCTGTATACTGTGTACAGCAGTAAATCAGGCAGGTCAGGGCTCTCTGTATCCTGTGTACAGCAGTAAATCAGGCAGGTCAGGGCTCTCTGTATACTGTGTACTTAAATCAGGAGGTCTCTCTGTATACTGTGTACACCAGTAAATCAGGCAGGCCGGGGCTCTCTGTATACTGTGTACACCAGTAAATCAGGCAGGTCGGGGCTCTCTGTATACTGTATACAGCAGTAAATCAGGCAGGTCAGGGCTCTCTGTATACTGTGTACTTAAATCAGGAGGTCTCTCTGTATACTGTGTACAGCAGTAAATCAGGAAGGCCAGGGCTCTCTGTATACTGTGTACACCAGTAAATCAGGCAGGCCGGGGCTCTCTGTATACTGTGTACAGCAGTAAATCAGGCAGGTCAGGGCTCTCTGTATATGGTGTACAGCAGTAAATCAGGCAGGTAAAGGCTCTCTGTATACTGTGTACAGCAGTAAATCAGGCAGGTCAGGGCTCTCTGTATTCTGTGTACAGCAGTAAATCAGGCAGGCCGGGGCTCTCTGTATACTGTGTACAGCAGTAAATCAGGCAGGTCGGGGCTCTCTGTATAGTGTGTACAGCAGTAAATCAGGCAGGCCGGGGCTCTCTGTATACTGTGTACAGCAGTAAATCAGGCAGGTCAGGGCTCTCTGTATATTGTGTACAGCACTAAATCAGGCAGGCCGGGGCTCTTTGTATACCGTGTACAGCAGTAAATCAGGCAGGCCGGGGCTCTCTGTATACTGTGTACAGCAGTAAATCAGGCAGGTCTGGGCTCTCTGTATACTGTGTACAGCAGTAAATCAGGCAGGCCGGGGCTCTCTGTATACCGTGTACAGCAGTAAATCAGGCAGGCCGGGGCTCTTGTATACGTGTACAGCAGTAAATCAGGCAGGCCGGGGCTCTCTGTATACTGTGTACAGCAGTAAATCAGGCAGGTCTGGGCTCTCTGTATACTGTGTACAGCAGTAAATCAGGCAGGCCGGGGCTCTCTGTATACTGTGTACAGCAGTAAATCAGGCAGGTCAGGGCTCTCTGTATATTGTGTACAGCACTAAATCAGGCAGGCCGGGGTTCTTTGTATACCGTGTACAGCAGTAAATCAGGCAGGTCAGGGCTCTCTGTATACCGTGTACAGCAGTAAATCAGGCAGGCCGGGGCTCTCTGTATACCGTGTACAGCATTAAATCAGGCAGGTCGGGGCTCTCTGTATACTGTGTACAGCAGTAAATCAGGCAGGCCGGGGCTCTCTGTATACTGTGTACAGCAGGAAATCAGGCAGGCCGGGGCTCTCTGTATACTGTGTACAGCAGTAAATCAGGCAGGCCGGGGCTCTCTGTATACTGTGTACAGCAGTAAATCAGGCAGGTCTGGGCTCTCTGTATACTGTGTACAGCAGTAAATCAGGCAGGCCGGGGCTCTCTGTATACCGTGTATAGCAGTAAATCAGGCAGGCCGGGGCTCTTTGTATACCGTGTACAGCAGTAAATCAGGCAGGCCGGGGCTCTCTGTATACTGTGTACAGCAGTAAATCAGGCAGGTCTGGGCTCTCTGTATACTGTGTACAGCAGTAAATCAGGCAGGCCGGGGCTCTCTGTATACTGTGTACAGCAGTAAATCAGGCAGGCCGGGGCTCTCTGTATACCGTGTACAGGTATAAGTCAGGTAGGACGGACGTGTCTGAATTCTTCGTACAGGTGTAAATCAGGTAGCCCAGGTGCCTCTGTGTAAGGAGCACAGGAGTAAATCAGGTAGTGCAAACCCTTGTTATAGGATTAATAAGGCAGCACGGACAGGGGAACAATAGGTAGGCTTGTTCATTCTGTTGACATGAAAACTCTCTCATGCCAGTAGCCTCTGAAGCGTGACCAAGGCGCTGTAGCAATATGTATGATATTTAGTCGATTTTCAATCAAACAACCTAATATCAAACATATCAGACAGAACCCAGGCATGGCTGTATGATGAACGCACTCACTCATGCTGTTTGTTCACCTGTTAAAGTCCCATCCTAACCAAAACAGAAATCTTTGGAAATACGTCAGTGTAAGATACATTTTATATATACTCACTTCCATGTAAATCTCATTAGTTTATGAAGAAACTTGAACGGTAATTCACTAAACTCTGAACAGTAGCAAATTGAAATCTGAATTGCAAAATATAGGCTCAAATAGTCAAAAAAGTTTGGGTTGGAGAAATTCTCCAAATCAGATTTGTTTGCCTAAATGTTGCTAGTTTGCTGCAGTTCAGCGTTTAATGAATAACTTAATACATGTTTTTTTTCTACACTTTCTCATTGCATCTCGTAGATTGCAAGCTCTTTGGGGAAGCCATACGTTTCTCGCAATATCAGAACAGATCTGTTGTTCGGTCAGCAAAGGATTCAAGGTCTTCTTGGTCTGACTAGTAAACCGTTATACTCCAGTCATTGAGCAGAGACAGTTCCTGATTTAGAAAGAAATCTCAACTGTTATTTTCTAAAGAAAGACGTATGGTTGGTTCTAATCTGTGCCTTCAAAGTTAGTGAGGGACATAACAAAGTATGCAATTAGAGGAACCAAAACTGCAATGATGACATATTCACAGACAGTACTACGTGACAATATCCCTCCCACCCATGACAATTAGACAGACAGGTTAAAAAGATGAGTGACAGAGGCCAGGAGGGTGGAAAAGAGAGCAAAGAGGAGAAAGTTTAGAACAAAAATCCTGGGACAGGACTAGGTAGAAGTGCAGGGGTCAGAGAGAGACTTAGAGGAGGAGACAAAGAGAGGGCAAGGAAGAGAGAGCAATGGACTGGGAGCAGGAAACTCCCAGAGGAAAGACTGCTAGATGAGACAGAGCCACAGGGAGAGGCACTCAGTGAATGAATTGCAATGCATAGTCATACAGATAGAGAGACTGCTGTCATACGGGCAGAGACTATCACACAGAGAGAGAGAAACAACCATTACACAAGCATACATGGCAAATATCGAGGGAAAAAATAAACAGTTACACAAACAGAGACAATCATATGGATACAACAGAGACAGACCAGTCACTAAAGTAAAACTAGACAACAATTGTGCAAGCAATGACAGAGAGTCAACAGTCACATTATGAGAGACAGGCAGCAATCATATTTTGAGAGACAGAGACAGCAGTCATACTGTGAGAGAGACAAAGAGTTAGCAGTCGCACTGTGAGAGACAGAATGGTGACAGTCATACTGTGAGAGAGACAGAGACAGTAGTCATACTGTGAGAGAGACAGATTGGTGACAGTCATACTGTGAGAGACAGCAGTCATACTGTCAGAGAGACAGGTAGCAGTCATTCTGTGAGAGACAGCAATCATACTATGAGAAACAGAGAGACATCAGTCATAATGTGAGAGAGAGACAACATTAATAATGTGAGAGGGACAGAGAATTAGCAATCATATTGTGAGAGGCAGAGAGGTAGCAGTCACACTGAGAGACAGGTAGCAATCATACTGTGAGAGACAGAGACGTAGCAGTCACACTGTAAGAGAGACAAGTAGCAGTCACACTGTGAGAAAGACAGGTAGCAGTCTTTCCGTGAGAGACAGCAATCATACTATGAGAAACAGAGAGACATCAGTCATACTGTGAGAGAGACATCATTCATACTGTGAGAAAGACAGGTAGCAGTCATTCTGTGAGAGACAGCAATCATACTATGAGAAACAGAGAGACATCAGTCATACTGTGAGAGAGAGACAACATTAATAATGTGAGAGGGACAGAGAATTAGCAATCATATTGTGAGAGGCAGAGAGGTAGCAGTCACACTGAGAGACAGGTAGCAATCATACTGTGAAAGACAGAGAGGTAGCAGTCACACTGTAAGAGAGACAAGTAGCAGTCACACTGTGAGAAAGACAGGTAGCAGTCATTCTGTGAGAGAGACAGGTACCAGTCATACAGGCTGAGACAGAGTACAGATAGGGACAGTCACACAGGGAGAAAGTAGAGAAGTCACTAGCTATAGATAGAGAGACAACAGCACTCCCACAGGCACAGACAGACATACAGCAAACACATAGGAAGAGGCCTATTCTAATCACAACCCTCTAACATCACTCCCTGCATTGCTAACTGTCCAATATACAGCAAATTATCTGGCTGCTCCTACAGAGTTAGTTTTATATCATTTATCAACTTGTCTCGTTGTTTATGTTATGCTATACTACACTGGCTGTGAAACAGTGCAGACTGTCTCCCCAAATGCCCTACCACATTCTGTAGACTGTCTCCCAGTGCTCACTATCACATTCTGCAGACTGTCTGCCAGTGCACTCTATCACATTCTGCAGACTGTCTCCCAGTTCTCAATGTCACATTCTGCAGACTGTCTCCCAGTGCACTCTATCATTCTGCAGTCTGCCTCCCAGTGCTCACTGTCACATTCTGCAGACTGTTTCCCAGTGCATGCTATCACACTGCACAGTCTGTCTCACAGTACTCTCTCTCATACTCTACAGACTGTCTCTCAGTGTTCTCTATCACACTCTGTGTTCTGTTACACTGTGCAGGCTGTCTCCCTGTGTACTGTCACAGTGTGCAGGCTGTCTCCCTGTGCACTGTCACACTGTGCAGGCTGTCTCCATGTGCACTGTCACACTGTGCAGGCTGTCTCCCTGTGCATGTTGCCACTTATTTCTCCATGCAGACTTTCACCCTATGCAGAATGTGTGACAGTGCACTCTACCACCCGATGCATGCTGTCTCTCAAATGCATTCTATCATATTCTGTAGCTGTCTCGCTATGCACTATTCTCACAGTACACTATCTTTTTATACATATTATACAGGTTGTATCTATGTGCACTCATTTCCACTAAACTAGCTATGTCTCTAGGTACTTTTAAATCTCTGCAGGCTGTTTCCCAATGTCCCATCACACAATAGAAGCTGTCTATCCATGCACTCTGTCATATTCTGCGGGTTGTCTTCCTGTGCTGTGTGACATAGTTACATAGTAACTGCAGGGTGACTGTCTCTCCATGCTCTTCGTAGCACTCTGAACACTTTTTGTCCATGCACTCTATAGCACTCTGCAGGCTGTCTCTTCATGCACGTCATCACAGGCTGCAGACTCTCTCTGCAATCCAATGCAACCAATCACACATTACAGACTCATCTCATCTCCTCATTCATTGTGTCACACTTTGCAGATTGTCTCTCTGTGTAAGCTGTCACCCTCTGCACTGTCACACTCTATATATAGGTATGCTGTCACACTGAATGCAGGTACACTGTTATACTCTAGGTATAGGTACACTGTCACACTGTATGCAGGTACACTGTCACACTGAATACAGGCACACTGTCACAATGAATACAGGTACACTGTCACACTGTATGCAAGTACACTGTCACACTGAATACAGGTACACTGTCACACTGTATGCAGGTACACTGTCACACTGTATGGAGGTACACTGTCACACCGAATACAGGTACACTGTCACACTGTATGCAGGTACACTGTCACACAGAATACAGGTACACTGTCACAATGAATACAGGTACACTGTCACACTGTATGCTGGTACACTGTCACACTGAATACAGGCACACTGTCACACTGGATGCAGTCACACTGTATGCAGGTACACTGTCAGACTGTATGCAGCTACACTGTCACACCGAATACAGGTACACTGTCACACTGTATGATGGTACACTGTCACACTGAATACAGGTACACTTTCACACTGAATACAGGTACACTGTCACACTGGATGCAGACACACTGGCACAGTGAATACAGGTACACTGTCACACTGTATGCAGGTACACTGTCACACTGAATACAGGCACACTGTCACACTGTATGCAGGTACACTGTCAGAATGAATACAGGTTCGCTGTCACACTATGCAGGTACACTGTCACAATGAATACAGGTACACGGTCACACTGTATGCAGGTACACTGTCACAATGAATACAGGTACACTGTCACACTATATGCAGGTACACTTTTACACTGAATACAGGTACACTGTCACACTGGATGCAGGCACACTGTCACAATGAATACAGGTGCACTGTCACACTGGATACTGGCACACTGTCACACTGTATGCAGGTACACTGTCACAATAAATACAGGTTCACTGTCACAATAAATACAGGCACACTGTCACACTGTATACAAGTACACTGTCACACTGAATACAGGTACACTGTCACACTGTATGCAGGTACACTGTCACACTGTATGGAGGTACACTGTCACACCGAATACAGGTACACTGTCACACTGTATGCAGGTACACTGTCACACAGAATACAGGTACACTGTCACACTGGATGCAGGTACACTGTCACAATGAATACAGGTACACTGTCACACTGTATGCTGGTACACTGTCACACTGAATACAGGCACACTGTCACACTGGATGCAGTCACACTGTATGCAGGTACACTGTCAGACTGTATGCAGGTACACTGTCACACCGAATACAGGTACACTGTCACACTGTATGATGGTACACTGTCACACTGAATACAGGTACACTTTCACACTGAATACAGGTACACTGTCACACTGGATGCAGACACACTGGCACAGTGAATACAGATACACTGTCACACTGTATGCAGGTACACTGTCACACTGAATACAGGTACACTGTCACACTGTATGCAGGTACACTGTCAGAATGAATACAGGTTCGCTGTCACACTATGCAGGTACACTGTCACAATGAATACAGGTACACGGTCACACTGTATGCAGGTACACTGTCACAATGAATACAGGTACACTGTCACACTATATGCAGGTACACTTTTACACTGAATACAGGTACACTGTCACACTGGATGCAGGCACACTGTCACAATGAATACAGGTGCACTGTCACACTGGATACTGGCACACTGTCACACTGTATGCAGGTACACTGTCACAATAAATACAGGTACACTGTCACAATAAATACAGGCACACTGTCACACTGTATGCAGGTACACTGTCACAATGAATACAGGTACACTGTCACACTGTATGCAGGTTCACTGTCACAATAAATACAAGTTCACTGTCACACTCAATACAGGCACACTGAATGCAGGTACACTTTCACACTGAATACAGGCACACTGTCACACTGTATGCAGGTACACTGTCACAATGAATACAGGTACACTGTCACACTGTATGCAGGTTCACTGTCACAATAAATACAGGTTCACTGTCACACTGAATACAGGTACATTGTCACTCTGAATACGGGCACACTGTCACACTGAATACAGGCACACTGTCACACTAAATACCGGCACATTGTCACATTGAATACGGGCACACTGTCACACTGAATACAGACACACTGAATACAGGTTCACTGTCACAATGAATACAGGTACACTGTCACACTGAATACAAGCACACTGTCACAATTAATACAGGCACACTGTCACACTGTATGCAGGTACACTGTCACACTGTATGCAGGCACACTGTCACACTATATGCAGGTACACTGTCACACTGGATGCAGGTACACTGTCACACTGGATGCAGGTTGGCACATTGATGCTTAGCCCCAATAGAATCGTGTCCTGACTTCACCCTTGACATTTAAAGCACCTTTTCACAATTACATTTCCTTAGTAATCTGTAAAAATATATTATAAAAGACACAGTGGGATTTTTTCACAGTGGGATTTTTTCCCCAAAATTACAATCTTACTGTTCCACCCTGCTGATTCTACAAAGATTGACATAATAACAGAAAGTTGACCCTTCTTACCTCCCCACCCTGCCATGTGTATAAAAACACTCACCCTTCTACCTGTCCATATCTTTCTATTAAGCAATCTCTGCAGGGAAGCTACTGCCATGTATCCACTACCCTCTCAGTAAAGCAGTTCTTCCTTTTCCTCTCTTGCGTCTGATGCGTTTTATTCTATAAGGCACTGAGCCTGCCCGTAGTAGTAGATAAATAGCTACCCCATTGTCCACCTTCTGTTATAATTAAACTATAACTACTGTAACATTATTCTGGCACCCACCACAGTTCAACTAGCAAGCTGAGCAAAATCTGGCCTTTTCTAACACATGCCATAACCAAGTCCACTTACAGGACACCTACCTGTGGATAACCCAGCTGCCCATCAGGACTTGAAGCAGTGGGACTGTGAGGCAACCAAGGTTTATAACTCCTGCCATGCTATGGGGTGTAAACCCCACCCTCTAACGTCCAGCGTTCCCTGGCCCATTCCTCTTATCCCATTAATTACAATGCATCGATCGGACACTGTCCTTACCTCAAATTGTCCAATCAATAATGCCCACTCTGCGCTGAGCTCTGTGTGTGTGCATGTCAGCTGCCCTGGGGGCCTGCGTTCCAATTAATAAGGCTTATTAATCGGCCTTGTTACCATGCATCTTAAAAATCCAGAAACGGCCTCGCCTGCTGTCTGTGTCTGGGGGTGTAAAGTGTTTCACGGTCTTGTGTGGGTAGGTGCATAACTGCCAGCTCTCTGGAAGCCCAGAAAATCCAGCCAGTCTCAAGGCCTTCTTTCATATCTCTGTTTACTCTTTAAATCAATATCCAGAGACTGAACTGGAGACAATGTGAGGATCAGTGCTTTCTGTATTGACACTAGAAAGTCCCCCACAACTTTCTGTCTGCATTTAACACTTTGCTGTACAGCGGTTAGTTAACAGCACAACCTTGTACAACAATAATCTGAAAATGTTTTAACTTGGGTCTCTTTAAGGTCCTTTCTCACTAAGAAGGGGTAGAGTGGCTTATCTCTAGTGCCAAAATGCAGATTATTGAGATATGATTGTTAAGCAAACACTGACAAGGGCAACCACACTCACACAAGTGTCACAGACACAATACAGGGAGGCCTCATTGATACAAAGTACTGATACAAACACTCACAGGCGACAGTGGCATTTTCTCTAAATATCCTGATTGTCATCTTGTGTAACCCTGTTCAACTTTGCTCAAGTAGAAAATAGAGTATACATCACCACTTACAAACACTAGCACGCCCTACTGACTTGATAAACGCTAGCGGTCTAACTAACATAACGCGCAGGTCTTACTGAGACAAACATACACTGGTCTCCCACAAACAGGTTTAACAGATTCCCCTAACACAAAACATCACAAAGTTCATTGGTGCAAAGACTTAGTGATGCAAACTCTCACAGATATTGCTGACAGTAACACACACAGTAGTTAGGATGGAATTTGAGGCACCATTGAACCTTTTTGCGGAGTGACTTTATTTCCTTTTGTTGGATCAACATCAGTAACATATCTGTGAATCTAATACATTTTTAGTTTTATTGTGGTTCTTTTTTTTAGCATACTATTTTATTGAAGCATGGCTGTACCAATTACAGTTTAACGTTGTATGATGCATAATGCTGACATTAATACCACATAGGATGGCATGGAGTTCTTATTTTACCCACCGGACATGACCACATGAAGTGGACCTGTGATGGGACTTGATCTGACATTATTGCAAACTACTATTGATTCCCGTTTGTTTGCCTGGGGAGGTTTCTGTGACCTTGGGAACAGAGCACATGTAACGGCCCAGCCTCCCCACTGTCAATCTGTACTCAGATTCCAAATTCCCATATCCAAAGTAGCAGGGTATTTCACTGAAGTGCGAATTCAAAGTGAGTTCCCTTTGAATTTCAAATTCAAAGTCAAAATAGCTGAAATTGAAACATTGTCTAAATCAACTACACTTTCCATTTCGGCTACTTTGGACTTAAATTTTAAATTACTTTTAGTTTTTGAATAAACTTGTAGGAGTTGTCCTCCCTTGTTTATTTAATAAATCAAATCCGAGCATCACAAATCCAAAACCATCATTACAGCTGTTTACAGAAAAAAACAAAACAAAACTTTTTTAACCCCTTAAGGACACATGACGTGTGACATGTCATGATTCCGTTTTATTCCAGAAGTTTGGTCCTTAAGTGGTTAAAATAAAAAAAAATTAAAAAAACATTAAAAATAGTACAAACATAATCTGTTTAGATCCACAGTTCATATAACACATTTTGTATGTCAAAACGTATTAATAGGTACGTCCCTAGCCATAGTTCTCGATTTGAATTTGATAGTTGTGTGCACATTCTTACTTCCTTAAAAAGAAAAGAAAATGAGGTACTTACTCACTAAGTCTCCACAACAGCAAAAAGAAACATCTAAGTCAGTTTTACTAACTCTGCTATTTTAACCAACACTTTGTCAGCACAGCACAACTCTTCATTAACAGATAAACTCTGTTCTGAGGAATAATCCCCCTTAATGATGAGTTCTTGAACAATTA